GAAGGAGGCTTGCCCTGCCTGGAGGAGGGGGCCTGAGTTCCCAGAGGCTCCTGCCTGGAGGGAAGGTGAGAGGCAGCCAGGAAGCAGAGGGGTGGAGCAGTCATGTGGGATCTTAGAAGACATTTGGGAAAGCGAGTTTCAGGGGAAGCAAGGGGAACGGCTTCCCAGAGGCGGGAACAGAGTGAGCCCGGGGGGCAGGCTGGCCTGCAGTGCGGCCCCTGAGACTGCAGGTGGCCACCAGGGTGCAGGGAGGGTGCTTATGTCCCCCAGGCGGCCTACCTACAGAGGACGGGGGTGAACACAGCCGTCTTTGAGAGACGCCACGTGATCGGGGGCGCAGCTGTCACGGAGGAGATCATTCCAGGTGAGCCCGGGCGGTGGAGTGGGGGCAGCGGCGGGGTGACCGCCAGTGGCCGCCCGTGACTGTCTTCATGTGACTCGGTTTCAGGGTTCAAGTTCTCCCGAGCATCCTACCTCCTCAGCCTGCTGAGACCACAGATCTACACTGACCTGGAGCTGAAGGTAGAGCCCCGCTGCGGCCGGCCTTGTGTGTGTGGGGGGGTCAGTTCCATCTTCCACCCGGGGTGAGGCTCCCCACAAGGTGATTCCCGGCACCTGAGGCCTCGCTTCTATCCGAGGGCCTATCGTCCACGGTCTCCTTGGTACGTTCCCTGATGGTTTGGTCTAGTCCACCCAGTGTCTTAAAAATCGGGAACTTTCACATAAAAATCAGACTTATTTTAATGGAGGAGCTTTATCAACACGAGGCCCGTGTTCCTCCATGCAGCACTGATCCCCACGTGGGGCGGGGGTCCCCAGCCCTGCCCTGCCCCCAGCCCTGACTTGTCTGGCCCTCGGGAACCTGCCTGAACCCTTGAGCCCCGAGTTTGCAAAGCTGCCTCAGGCCAGGAGCCTGCCTAGCATGAGGTCCTGCTGCTGCCCTGGCAGCCCGAGCAGGAGTGGAAGGACTTTCACCTCTTCCGGCCCCAGGGCTGCTGGGAGCCGATCTGAACCCTCTCAGTGGCCCCTGCTGCCTCTCTTGGGTTAACCTTGGTCACAGGCTGGGCCAGCGCTGCCCCCCCCCCCCCCCCCCGCTCCCACATTCCTTTCACCCCTCGCTGCCTCTTGTATAAACTCTGCTCACAGCCCAGGGCCCGCTGAGCCCCTCCCTGCGTGGTGCCTGTCACCCCAGAGAACGGGTCCCTGTGCCACCCGTGCAGGAGGCCACCACGCGCTTTAGCGCCAGCTTTGCTCTAAATTGGAAGTTTGAAATTGATAAGATGTTGAGCCACTGTTCACAGCTCTTGGGCTGCTTGAACTGGTTCATGTAGAGGAGTTCTCCATAGATAACTACAGAAACTCACTAAAGAAATTATTCTTTGAGCGAGAGAGAGAGAGAGAGAGAGAGAGCGAGAGAGAGAGGGAGCATCACCAGCCAGGACTGGGTGAAATGTAGCCAAGGACGGGAAAGGGCCTCTGGTCTTCAGCCCGTACCAGCCTAGAGCTGGCGGCGCGTGCAGACGCACCAGCTGTGCGCAGAGGCAGCCGCAGTGGGGAAGGGGTGGGGTAGACCCTCCTGTGAAAAATCTAGCTTCTGAAAACGGAGAGTCACAGAATAGAATTTTTCACATGATTAATAGCTTTATTAATAAAATAAATTAAAAAATATGTGCTCCTGAAAGGTTCTGTGTGCTCCTCAAATATTTGTAAGTCAAATCATATTTTAAATGCATCAAGGGAACTTCCATTTAAGGTGACCCTGGAGTAAATGAGTCTGCAAAGTAAATAAAAATTTTTGATGTGAATAATTTATCTACCTTGTAAGTATGGATTTTCACATAATTGTTTTTTTATTGTGTCTTTCAAAATTTTAATTATTTATTTCTGGAGCGGGGGCAGCTGTAGACTAGTGTGGAGCGTGAGCCAGGGCTTCTGAGTCAGAGATGTGGTTTTGAAACCCGATCTACCTTCCAATGTGACCTTGGGCAAGCTATTTAACTTCCCCGAGCCTCAGCTGTTGCATCTGTACAATGAAGATGGTATAGAGCTGTTGTGGGCTGACCATTGTAACCCCTAGGACAGTCCCTGGCACAGGGTAGCGTGGTGTGACATGGAGTGGTGTGGCATGGTGTGCTGTGGTGTGGTATGACATGGTGTGATGGTGTGGTTTTGTGTGTCGTGGTGTGTTGTGATGTGATATGAGGTGGTGTGACGGTGTGACACGGAGTGGTGTGGCTTTGTGTGTCCTGGTGTGGTGTGGCGTAGTGTAGTGTAGTGTGATGTGGTCTGCCACAGAGTGCCTGGGCATGGGGGCTTTACACACTTTCACTGAACAATAGGAATCAGGACCGTGGGAAGCTGCCTGCAGGTATCTCAATGGTCATAAACACAACCGGAGAAGCTCAAGGGCAGAGGCCACACATCCCTCCCATGTTGCTTGTTCTGCCTGTGTCCTGCAGAAACACGGGCTGAGAGTTCATCTTCGAAACCCCCACTCCTTCACCCCCATGCTGGAAGAAGGCACGCGGAGCAAGGCGCCCAGGTCCCTACTTTTGGGCACAGACATGGCGGAAAACCAGAGGCAGATTGCCCAGTTCTCGCAGAAGGACGCCCAGGTAGGGAAAGTGACCAGCGACGGACATCTTCCTCCCTCTGTCGCCTGCAGGCGGCTCTTGAAAGGAAACCGGCCTAGTTGGACTTGTCCTGGAGCACAGGTCCAAGGGCCAGGGGGCTCGGACAGGCCACACCCCCTGCCCTCGATCTTGGGCACTGCGAAGAGAAGGGGGGAGGTCAGTGGTTAAGACCAGTGCACACTGGAGCCCCTCACACCTGTGCGTTCAGGACGCGGCCGCTGTTCCGACGGCCTCTGCCTGCTGCGTGTCAGAGGGAGGCTGCTGGCAGGTGCTTACACTGTGTGCTTCTGTCTCCGCTGCTTTCAGACAGAACTCTAAGTGGTTATCAATATTAAAGCACATGGAGGCCAAGACGAAGGATCAAGGGCGGATCAGAGACGATTAAGGATAGAATGAACTGGATCAGGAATTTAGGACAAGGAGGTTGTAATACATATTCATTCAATTTGGCGTCAATCCCCCGACAGCCCAAGGCAAGAACTTGTACGCGATGGCGTGCGGGTCTGCTGAGCGGAAGCAGCGCATCTGACAGCGAACGCACGATTTTCCCAGGCTTTTCCCTGGGATTGCATTATAAGGAATTTGTTGGGTAGCTTTGTCTAACGAGTTAGTGAATATAATGGGCCTGGTGTGATTGGTTTGCAGATATAAAAAGATTCCTTAAATGGCTATTTTTTGTACTAAGCCTAGATATAAGCTGAAGGCAGGGCCTTAACTCAGATCTTGTGCAGACATTTTTATAAGAACCTAGGTTACTGTAATCAATGTGTGTTGCTTTTTGTGAGGCTAGTCTATCACCAGGTAATATCTCTTCAACCAGCAATTTCCAAACCCGGCTGACAGTCAGGGTCGCCCAGGGAGCTTGGCTTTGTTTTCAAAGTGATTCTTTTGTGCACTGGGTTGGGGACCACTGCCTCCACCCTGTGCTCCAAACCCTGCCACCTCAGACGCACGAGGGAGCATTTAGGACAAGGCCAGGGCCCAGAGCATGTGGGACGGGGCGGTGGCCTGGAGTGCTGCCAACCACAGGAGCGGGAGGCAGGGCACGTCCCCTGTGGGAAGTCAGGAGCCTGGATTCTGGCTTCGTCTTTGTCGATGGTCATACTAAAGGCCTCCCGCAGAAAGAGCTATGCAGCTTCACTGTGTACTTCAACACAGAACTTTCCTTTATGTAACAATTAAATTCCGTGGGTATATCTGTGAGTCTGGATGAACCAAAAATTAAGAGCTCTGGGCTGAAAATGAAGATAAGGCCTCCAGGGCACAGGCAGCCACCCAGCTCCTGTCGCCCATCCAGGGGAGGGGGGTGGGTGTCGACGTGGATCCTGTCGTGGGAGCTCGTGGGGTGATGGGGTGCAGACCTGGTCCTGCTGTGATGAGAGGACGTGGGAGATTGCAGAGCAGGAAGGAGCAGTCGGCGTGCTGGAGCGCAGGGAAAGGATCCTATTTCCCCTCAGTAATGCACGGCAGACGGCAGAGAAAGAAGAAACTGCTCAGTGGTTCTTGGTTTATCGCGGAGACCACATCCTGAGTACTTGCCAGGTTCCTGTGGCTGACGACTGGTCCTGGCCAGCTTAACCCCTGTTCCTGCCACTGCCCGATGGCTCTCCCGCTGCCCAGGCTCCCTCTGACCTCCCCTGGTGTCAACCTCAGCACAGACCCGGACAGGGAGTGACAGCACAGCCACACTGAGACGGCAGGGCATCAGGCCAGAGGAACCAGGAGGGCATCGGCCAGAGGAACCAGGAGGCTCCGCTGAGGGCAGCGGCCACATGGGGGCAGCATGGAGGGCAGAGCATGGGACCATGTCCCCTTCTAGGCAACAGGGCCTGGACTTGGGGTTGTGTTCCAGGCTTTTCCCAAATACGAGGCCTTCATGAATCGCTTGGCATCAGCCATCGACCCTCTGCTGGACGCAGCGCCCGTGGACATGGAGGCCTTCCGGCGGGGCTCCCTGCTGCAGAGGCTCCGGGCGCTCTCCACCCTCGCACCCCTGCTGCAGGCAGGTAAGTCCCGGCCAGCATCAGGCAGATGAGTGACCTTCACGGAGCCGAGCCCACTGTCGCCATGATCAGACGTAGGCCTGAGCCTCCAAGGCAGCCTGCCAGCTGCCATCCATTAACGGCCGCCCGGGAGGTCGGCGAGCAGGTCGTGCCTGGCGTGCCCTAAAACCAGAGCCCACACAAAGGCTTACGTGCGAGTGGTTCGTTTTGCAGGGTGATCCAGGGAAGGGAGAGAGAAACTGGGAAGAGGGGGAGTCCACACCAGCGTGCTGCTGTGCGGGCCACCACGCAGGTGACAGGTGCTGGGTCCCAAGAGGACCCCCTAGAAGCCCTAGGAGATGCACGTGAGGACCAGCCCCCAGAGAAGAAAGGGAAACTTTCCCCATTAGGTTCTATCTCCCAGTGATCAAAGGTTGCTCCCTGGGGGTTTAACTCCTACATAGGACTGGGGATCCATGGGTGTCAGGTGGCCTTTTGTGGGCGTCCTGTCTTGGGGCCAGAGAAGCCCCAAGGCTGAAATGAAGAGACGCACCTTACAGGCGTGAGGTGAGATCTGTCGATGGCACCGTGTGCAGCTGATGGAAGCCTGCCTGGCCCTGGTCGTTAGAGAGAGGGGCCAGGAGAGTTTGAAGAGGATGCTAGATTGGGGCTTAGCAGGAAAAACTTCTGTGATTGATTAGTGATGTCTGCCACGGCTATGAAAAGGGAAGTTCGGATAAGCATGCTATTCTTTTCTACTCCTCCAGGTTATAAAGACCAGTTTAGCTTCTGTATTCTAGAAAAATACTGAAACAGTTAGCTATGGCCACAAAATTGCTACATAAAACTGTAAAACCCAGTGGCATATAAAAATTAATTTCTCACAAATCTGCATGGTTTAGCTGATCCCAACTGGGCTCAGCCGATCTGGTCTGGTCTCACACATGTTGGTGGCTGGGGCAGATCAGCGAGGGCAGCTGTGCCCCAGGCGCCTGTCCTCCTGGGAGCTGCAGGCTAGTCGAGGCCTTCTTACATTACTGGCAGAAGCTCAGAGGGCAAGCCCTGATGTGCAGGCCAGTTTCAAGCCGCTGTTTGTATCACAACTTAAAGCAACAACTTAAAGCATTCCACTGACCAAGCAAACCCTGTGGATGAGTCCAGAATCGAGTGCAGAGAGAATGCAGATCAGAGCGTTTCCTTCTCGCCTGTCTGTCTATGTTTTATGGGTCTTCTTTTTCAGGCCGCATCCTGGGGGCCCAGCTGCCCCAGTATTACCAGGTCCTCACGGCTCCCATTACCAAGGTGAGGGGCTCCCAGCCTCAGGCAGGGCCTCGCGGTGAGGGGTTCTCTCCCTCCGATGGCCCTAAGCCAGGGGTGGGCAAACTTTTTGACTCGAGGGCCACAATGGGTTCTTAAACTGGACCGGAGGGCCGGAACAAAAGCGTGGATGGAGTGTTTATGTGAACTAATATAAATTCAAAGTAAACATCATTACATAAAAGGGTACGGTCTTTTTTTTTTTTTTTTAGTTTTATTCATTTCAAACGGGCCGGATCCGGCCCACAGGCCGTAGTTTGCCCACGGCTGCCCTAAGCTGTTCTCCCTGCTGTGTTACTGTCCCAGGTGCTGGATCAGTGGTTTGAGTCCGAGCCTCTAAAAGCTACTCTAGCAACGGATGCTGTGATTGGAGCCATGACAAGTCCCCACACTCCAGGGAGTGGGTGAGTGTGGGCGGCAAGGTGGGGCAGTGGGAGTGGAGCGAATTCCCCCCAAAGCATGATAACAACAGTCATTGACTGAGCTCACCCTGTGAGCCAAGCAGGAAGCCACACACTCCGTACACGATCCATCTGACCCTCACGCTAGGACGTAAGAGACGTGGTTCAGAGAAGGGAAGTGTTTTGCCCGAAGTCACACAGCTACGAAGGGGCAGGGCTGATTTTCAGCCCAAGTTGTCTGACCCCCAAAAAGTCCTTCTTAGCTGCTGCTCTCTGTTCTTCAGTAAGAAAAGCCTCTCACCCACCTCCCACGGTGACATCTCACATGAATGTATCTTCTGCCCACCCTTTCTCCTCTTCTCTCCCTCACTCCTCTTCCCATCTCTTCCCTGGAAGCCCTGCTGCCCCTCCCCCTCCCACCGACCCTTTCCCTGTGTCCCAGGACAGGCTCACACACAGACACCTGGGTAAGGGTGGGCAGCCGCCTTCCCTCTGTGAGCGGGGGGAGGGGGGGTGCTAACAGCCTGAGCCAGCAGGGGGCAGTCACACGCAGTGGGGGTCCTTGGCTGCGGTAGGACAGAGTGAAGCCCGCAAGAGCAGCAAGGGCGGGGTGTGTGTTGGGACAGAGGATGCTGCCAGGTGTTGGGCCGCGTCCAAAGCACCAGAAGATGCAGCTAGAAGCTGTCAATGTGTCTTTTCTCTCAAGGGAGGGAGTGCCCCTTGGAAGTGGTTTCCCGCGTGCACTAAGCCAGCCCCCCAATTCCCCAGGGCCAGGAAAAAGGGGGGCTGGCAGCAGTTGCCACACCTCGGCCAAGCTCTGTGATCAAAATCAATGTGGATCTTCCAGCTGGGGCTTTCTACCCTTTTCTCTGTGGGCCTCCAGGAGGCTTAGCTACTGCCCAGGTTGTAAAATGTGCCTTTAAGTAATTTGTTTCTTCATTAATTCTTTCAATAAATATTGATGGAGCACTTGTCTGTGCGAGGTGCTAGGGCGACAGTAGAGAATGGAGCTGAAATCCTGTGGGTGAGGTGGACGCAGAGCAGGCACTGACAGCGGAGTGCCGAGGTGCTGGGATGGGGAAGGAAGCCGGGACCACGTGCTCTCGGTCAGAGAAGCCCTGCAGGAGAGGGCGCCGGCTAAGCTGAGCCTCTAAGGACAGGAGGAACAAGGGAAGCAAAAGATGAGGGAGGAGGGGGCTCTAGGCAGCTGTGTTCCATGTGCAGAGGTTGGGAGTTGAGAAACCAGGTGGTCTATTCGAGGGACTAAAGGAGGTTCTGTTTGGTAGGAGTGTGGGCTGGGAGGGGGCATGGTGAGGGATGCGGCTCAAGATCAGGCAGGATCCCTGAGGGCCCTTTTCAGACTCTGGCCATGACCAACAAGGAGCCCTAGAAGGCTTGATAGGAGAGCAGGGCCAGGGGCATAGCTGGGTTTTGAGATGGGATCCAGGTTCTACGTGGAGAAAGGTCTGCAGGGAAGAGAGAGGGGAGAAGGTGGTCGAGTGAGGAAGGCCCACTGCAGTGTTTACGGAGGAGCAGAGCGTGGCCTGAACCAGGGAAGGAGCCGCAGGGAGCAGGGGCAGGAAGCTCTTCAGAGGCGGAGGTGACAGCATGTGATTGGATGGAGGGCATGAGAGACTAGTAGGAGGCAGGTTTCTTTTGGCAACTGAAGATGCTGTTCTTTGGGGTGGGGAAGGAGAAACAGGTTGGTGGATGGGGGCAAAGATTGGGTTTAAGACGCCTGCCCAGAAACCATGCAAATGGGGATCTCGGTGGGTAGCTGGACAGACGGACTGGAGCGCAGGAGAGAGCCGGAGCTGCAGCACCAGACACATCTGCACGGGGAGAGAACTGGGGTGGGGAAGCAAAGGCTCTTACAAGAGCCTAAGCCCATTGAAAGGCTAGTGGGGCAGGTTGGATGGGAAGAGAGAGGCTGAAGGTACAAGACAGGGTGGAATATTTGCACCTTGAACTCTGAGGAGAGTAAATCCCACCTCCGGCCACTGAGTCTGATGATCTGCCCTCAGGTATGTGCTGCTGCATCACGTGATGGGGGGCCTGGAGGGGATGCAGGGGGCCTGGGGCTACGTCCAGGGAGGCATGGGTGCCCTCTCGGATGCCATCGCAACCTCAGCCACCGCGCACGGAGCAAGTATCTTCACTGAGAAGGTGAGTGGCCCCTCTGTCCCCTCCTCTGATGATTGGCTAGGGTCCTTCCAAAACCTCAGATTCGCAAGTTCCCTCATTTTACCAATGGACAAGGTGGGGCTCGGAGTCGAGGGGCTCAGGTATGCAGCCTGTTAGTAGCTGCGCAGCTGTCCACCGGCTCCCGGCTCCCGTCAAGTTCACTGCCACTGTCCACACTTGGGCTGAGCCTTCCAGACGGAGGGGCGGGCTAGGCTTCCCCGAGGAGCTGCGGGGAGAAGGTGGTCGAGTGAGGAAGGCCCACTGCAGTGTTTACGGAGGAGCAGAGCGTGGCCTGGACCAGGGAAGGAGCCGCAGGGAGCAGGGGCAGGAAGCTCTTCAGAGGCAGAGGTGACAGCATGTGGTTGGATGGAGGGCGTGAGAGACTAGTAGGAGGCAAGACTACACCCAGATTTCTTCTGGAAACTGAAGATGCCGTTCTTTGGGGTGGGGAAGGTTGAAGGAGAAACAGGTTGGTGGATGGGGGCAAAGATTGGGTTTAAGACGCCTGATAAGAAACCATGCAAATGGGGATCTCGGTGGGTAGCTGGACAGACGGACTGGAGCGCAGGAGAGAGCCGGAGCTGCAGCACCAGACACATCTGCACGGGGAGAGAACTGGGGTGGGGAAGCAAAGGCTCTTACAAGAGCCTAAGCCCATTGAAAGGCTCATGGGGCAGGTTGGATGGGAAGAGAGAGGCTGAAGGTACAAGACAGGGTGGAATATTTGCACCTTGAACTCTGAGGAGAGTAAATCCCACCTCCAGCCACTGAGTCTGATGATCTGCCCTCAGGTATGTGCTGCTGCATCACGTGATGGGGGGCCTGGAGGGGATGCAGGGGGCCTGGGGCTACGTCCAGGGAGGCATGGGTGCCCTCTCGGATGCCATCGCAACCTCAGCCACCGCGCACGGAGCAAGTATCTTCACTGAGAAGGTGAGTGGCCCCTCTGTCCCCTCCTCTGATGATTGGCTAGGGTCCTTCCAAAACCTCAGATTCGCAAGTTCCCTCATTTTACCAATGGACAAGGTGGGGCTCGGAGTCGAGGGGCTCAGGTATGCAGCCTGTTAGTAGCTGCGCAGCTGTCCACCGGCTCCCGGCTCCCGTCAAGTTCACTGCCACTGTCCACACTTGGGCTGAGCCTTCCAGGCGGAGGGGCGGGCTAGGCTTCCCTGAGGAGCTGCGAGCTCGGCCGGTGGATTCAGGGTGGGGAAGCTGTGAATGTCCAGGAGCAGCAGAGACCATGGAAATCCTTCAAGGTCTCACCTCGTTTTCCTTCCTGGGGGCTTCTGGGGCCTCACTGTGTGGGGTCCAGACGGTGGCTAAGGTGCAGGTGAGCAGTGGACGCGTGCGAGGAGTGGTGCTGCAGGACGGCTCGGAGGTGAGGAGCAAAGTGGTGCTGTCCAACGCGGAGCCCCAGACCACCTTCCTGAAGCTGACACCACAGGTGAGGGGGGGGGGGGCAGGTTTAAGATCTCTGTCCAGCCCAGCCTGATGGCTCAGTGGTGGAGGGTTGACCTATGAACCAGGAGGTCACAGTTCAATTCCCGGTCAGGGCACCTGCTCAGGTTGTGGGCTCGATTACCCAGTTGGGGAAGCGGGAGCGGGGGGGGGGGGGGGGGGGGGGGGGGGGGGGGGGGGGGGGGGGGGGGGGGTACAGGAGGCAGCCAATCAATGATTCTCTCTCGTCATTGATGTTTCTATCCCCCTCTCCCTCTCCCTTCACCTCTCTGAAGTCAATAAAAAAAGCAAATTTTTAAAAGATCTCTGCCAAAACAGGAGCTGAGAAATGGGGTGATCAAGGGAGCTGGAACTGCATGGGGTAGGAGATGCAAGGGCCAAGTCTGTCCACCTTTGGGGAAGCCAGTCCTCCTCTTTCTCACCTCGCAGACGGGTAACAAACAGGGCAGAGCCTCACAGGTGAGGAGAAAGGTCCAGAGAGGTGAGGTGCCCTGGGCCGTTCAGGTGGCAAAGGACAGAGCCAGAGCTGGGACCCAGAGTTATTTATACAACTGTCCTGCTATCCCGGTTCCTCCCTTCTAACCAGCCCCGGTTCCACTGCCTGTGTGGATTACCTATTTCCACATGAATGCCGCATCACAAACAGCCACAGGACTCCTGGGCATGTGACAAGAACTACTGATTTAGCACAGAGAGCTGGAGAAGTCCGTTGATCTTGGCTAAGTTCAGCTGATTTGGGCTCCTCGTGCATCTGCCATCAGCTCTGAGCCCCGCTGACCTGGGCTGGGCTCGCTCACATGCCAGCCAGGGCGTCAGGAGGCATGGCTAGTGCAGGACAGTTTCTGCCCAAATGACCTGGCCCGGAGGGTGTGTGTGGGGG